GTGGAGGAAAATGGATTCCTTTGCTTGATAATGATCATTAGCTCTGGCCTTCTTCCACTTTGGGTTTTCCTGCATGAGATTCAAGTACATTATTGTAGATCAAGATTATTTATAGTGGTCGAAAATCGGACGCATCCATGTTAGTGCGATGGCCTCATTCTCTGAAATAGGACGTTAGAATGTTTTTATAACCCGACTGTCACGTTGTGTTATTTTCTTGTATTTCTTAATGCTTTTATAAGACATAAAGATGCACTATTTTGATGAATTCAATTGATTTTTTTCCCCTGCTCCCACTGAGATGGTTCCAACACGCAATAAACATATCTATCTGTATGGATGAAAGCAGGGAGCAGGTCAGATTAATAGAGAAAAGAGTCCGCTCCAAGTATAAAATGTATTTGTCATCAAGGCTTTTCTCATAACTTTACTATTTCGCAAACATCAAAAGAGGTTCCTTTCCATGCTGCCATTCTGTGCACAGCGATAACATATTGATAAAGATGAGTGTACATTTAACATGTCCGCAATACCACTTTGGGAATGATTTGAAATGCAAAATGCAGTGTATCTATTATATGAGAGTATTTGATTAAATTATGGTTCAGGAGAATTCAGTAAAAGTATTTTCAAAACTCTCTGTGAGTGAGTTAAAACTGTGTGGTTTGTGGTTTAATGCAATATTGGTGGCAGAAGCTGTGGCTAGTGCACAAGCAACTCTACTCCAGTTTGAAATCTAATTAAACTGACCGACAAAGAATTATGTTACAATTAAATGTTTTGTATGTTTTTTTTTTTTTTACTTGGCTGACAGTGATTGTTAATGACCACACCACTCCAGATTTTTGCAATCCCACAATTGCCTAGTCTTGGAACCATACCTGGGACCTTCTTGCTGTGTGCCACCATTTGGTAACCATTACTGCAAAAAGTGTTTAAAAAAAAGTCACAAAAATGCTCAAATTTGGCTAAATGTATCTTAATTTAAGCACATTTTGACTGCTTTAAAATAATGATTTCATTTTTTCTTGATAACGGACCTCTCAAAACAATAATGACCGCTGCCCATGGCAACGCACCCTCTGCTTGTAATTCATGTGTGTAGATTACTCTGCAAGTAGTTCCGGCCACTCCGGAGCTAACCACGCTAAATAAATGCAAATACCAATCAATCAACACACTTAAATGTATACATTATACATTCTTAACACACATGCACGGAGGTTTTCAGAAGTATCTGTTAAGGTTTTTATGGCAAAAATACTGTTTTAAAGCAAGAAAAAGTGATCGTGAAAAACCAGGAAGTAGATTCCGGGACATTTTAGGAACATTTGCAGAGGATCAAATAATGGATTCAGGTTAAGTTTATTTTTGGGTCACTCACCGCTGATGTTCAGAATTCTTTGTTCAGTTTCCATGCAGTTGGAGAGAGTTCTAGTTTGGAAATTGCTAGCCTAACTGTTACTAGCCTAGCTGTTGCTAGCCTAACTGTTACTCACACAGCCACGGGAAAGCCTTTGAGGAACTATTTTATTTTCTGTCATTAAATAAACCTTTTGGCATTCCTAAGAGTGGACTGAAGCTTGTTTTGTGTGTTCGTTGGTACAAAGTCGTATAATAAGCGTGATTCTGCCCTGTCTGTACTTATTTTCTGATAATGACCTACGCATTATCCCTTACATATTTTATAATTTTTTTGTCAATGTCAATGTCAGCTTTATTAGTATAGCACATGTACAACAACACCAGCTGCCCAAAGTGCTTCACAGGCACAAAAAACAAAAGCAAACAGCATATTATACATACAAATACATTGCGGTGTAAACACAAGACTGGGGTCTATACTTTTCTCACGGCTATAGGGACATGAGTGCACTTTGTAATTCCGTGTGTATTACTGTTTTATTCACTGCCACGTCTAAAAACAGGAGAAGATCCGATGAGTTGTTGATGCTGGACAGGCTGTTGGGTCCATTACTCCTCTCCTCTGTGTCACGCTGCAGATTAAAGCCTTTATGTTTATTCAGAGGAATGCGCCAGTCCATTATCTCATACAGATCCCTCGTAATCCCCTCACACAAAAAAAAGTCTGCTTATGCCCATCCTCTTCATTCACCCCTCCAAATATGTTACCGAGTAAACACATTATTACGCACATGCATGAGAACTATGGAGGGCTGTTTTGGTGAAATACTTTTACAATGCTTTTTTTTTTTATAACAGCAACTTTCCTCCATCACCGTATAATATCAAAGTTGTGAAAGTTTTTTGCTCCAGGCCTAGGGTTTAATGATTAATACTGATAAATGTGTATTAACTAAATTCAAGTATTCAGGCCGGGATCAGACAAGAAGTGTTTTTTTGAGTCCGTTTTGTGGCGTTAAAAGGGGGTTTCAGTCACTTTTTTAATTGCAAATAATAATCTATGCTTAAATGACCACCATACTGTGATCTAATGTAAAGTCTTAAAAACAGAGGAACCTTGGAAAAAGATAAGATAAGACAGACTTTATTGATCTCACACTGGATGAATTTACATATAACCTTAGTGGAGAAAAGTAGTTAAACCAATGGGGAAAGAGCTTGACTGTCTATTAAGGATTTGACTGGATTTGTCCGATTACAGAGCGGCGGGGGAAATCCTCTCTCTTGCTCCACAATTTGCAATTAAATTGACACAAAATGTAAGTAAAACATATTTTGATGAACGATAGCTCACTTCAGAGCACTAATGCCATAAACTATAAGATTTAAAGTTCTTTTGACGCTATAATCATACAAAAAGTGGGACAAAATTTAAGTCCATATTAATTAGCTATAAAAGTGAATTTGATTTGAATGTATTTGTGTGTAGCCCTAAATCACAACCATAGTCGTCTCGGAGGACTTTACAAAGTTTTAAATTAACCAACAACAGATCAAAGAATCAAAAAAAGAAACACGTAGGAGCCAAAGGGAGAGGAATAACCAATGTCCAAAAATGTCCCCAAATGTCCCCTAAATGTGCCAGATCATCACTGTCCTTAGAGCAGGGGTCTCCAACCTGTAGCTCGGGAGTCACCAGTAGCTCGCCACCCCTTTCCAGGTAGCTCACCGAAAGATTTAGAAATGAACAAATCATCATCATCATCATCCAAATTTTTTTTACAGACTCATGGTCCGCAGGATAAGACAAACACATCACATAAAAACACAAAACAACACATACGTCCAATCAAATAATATACTTAATATTTCAGATTGTATTATTCATTATCATAATTTATTATTGTAAATGCACTTATTTTGTCACGAGTAACAAATATGCAATGATAAACAATGACTGTACCCGATATCAGGCTCGTTCACACCAAAATATCACCAAACTTTTCCCAGGGCTGTTCATAGGAGTAGCTCTCTGCCTTTATCGTCACGGGAAAGTAGCTCTCTGGGTGAAAAAGGTTTGGAGACACCTGCTTTAGAGCCTCCTGCATCGGCAAGATATATACTGTATATAATTCAGTCCTCTCCAGCTAAAATGTTATAGTTTATAACAAATACAACAAAAATCGTCATACTATTTCGGTCACTCTGTGCAGAATTAAATTGCCTTAAACAAGTGACAAATATTGATCCTCAAAATATTGTTCCAACTATCATTTCCTGAAATATAAGTTGATACGTTGTGAAAGCCTATATGGCCGCACAGATATAAACCGCACAGCCGACACGTACATTTATTACTGCATGTTACTGCACATATGTATTCCCTCTACAAGTATCTCCTGCCACACAATACACCACCAGGCTAATAAAACCTGACAGCTCTTTCACATATTACAAGAGGCCTGGTATGTGTCCACCATGGTCTTTGAGGCAGTTGTTTTTTTGCCCACACAGCTGCTGTTATATTGGCCACCCCTGATTGGCGGAGACCAGATCAGGTATCTCTATAGCAGATTTTGATTGGTCTATAACGTATTAGGTGTCCCCAGACATAGTTGGCTATTAGAGCTACAGACATGCCAACTAGATGGCAACTGCGGCCCCCTGTTTGGCATCGCTATGGAAACCTTTAGACCAGCTGTAGTGAGGCTGTTGAGGATGCAAAAGCCACACTTGTCACTCCCCTATTATTACAGCCTCCCACATGCAAATATAAATACATATAGAGTGTAATTAAAGGCTGCAGTGATTGGCTGTCGGTGCATTGTTTGAGAGAGGCAATGTAAAATATACGGGCTGTCGGCTGATGCAAAAAATAATCTCTGTAACCAAAGAGCGTGTCTTTAAGTGTCTGTTATCTGCCATTTCCAATTACGCTCAATGCCCGGTGCTGTTTTCTAGGCAACGATCTCACAGTGACCGTTAGGGGGCGACATTGATCGGGCAAATGTAATCAAATGAAGTGCACCTCCGCTCCTTTCTGAAGCAGTCTCTCTCTCTCTCTCTTTCAAACACAAACCATAGGCACAAAGGGGGCACAGACATGGACATGATCAATTATGTGTCAAGCATTTCTTCCTCACTGAAAGACTAGCGCGATGACTATAGGCTACCGACCGGACTATTGTCTATTGACACTGGAGACGGAGTTCTCATGCAGTTCATTATCCCTAAAGGGGACAGCACGAAAGAGATCCAAAGAGGCCATTAATCATCATAGCCTTCAAAGAGCAAGAAAGGACCAAAATAACTGATACTGTAATCCTACACTGTAAATGCTGAACGTTTGTAACAAGTCAAAACAGTTGTAAATCTGGGGGTACGTCCTCGCAGACACTGAAATAAAATCTCAAGGTTAAAACGCAAACATTTTTCATAATCCCCACAGTGAGTTATTGTAGTCTACAGTTGGATATAGCAAGAGCGAAACAGACATAAAGCCCTTGTTTGGTTATTGCAATCCGATTGTTAAACGCTGCAGACTTTAGACATTGTATATAAGCACTTTACGCTCATCATTACAGCCCTGTTCCCACTATGACGAATAACTCCAAAGTCCATTTCAATTTGGGTCGATGCTGGATATGTGGGGTCAGTCCTACCCCCTCGTGCGCTCCCTCCACGTCCCCATAAATGCCTTTAGCTTACTGCTCCCAGCTCCCAGGACCAGCGCGCTCTGATTGGCTGCGCGCAGTTCCGTAGGCGGGTCCTTGTTCTCCACAGCGCCTCTCCGCTCGGGTTACACTTGAGCTCCAGCTACGAGACGCACCGGAGTCGCTCAGAGGCACTTTTTTTTTTTAAACACAAGAAATCCTCTCACACACACAACAGCGTGGACATGCTGGACATCGGATGTAAAGGCAGGTCCATGGTTGTTTGATTGGACTCTTTGTATCGCTGCACTTTTGCTTTTACACGCACTGCTCCACTACGCGGGGTCTTAACTCAGTGACCACACACGGCTCAGCTCAGCATGCCCGAGTTGGACTAGGACAGGCTGGACAAGAGGAGCGCAACACTGTGGCACAGCGAGCCCAGGGAATATTTATAATATCAACTCTGGTCCTTGGAGCAGGAGGAGGTGCTGAGAGACATCATTGGAATGAAATGGACCTCGGGATTCCCAGCGTTGCAGTGGAGTTGTGACTGATGGATGGTCATCTGTAGGCTATATACAGCAGCGACAGGTACAGGCACCATCAGGGGATTTGACAAAGACAAAGCGTGCGCCCCAGCTCTGTCTGTATCCACCGCGGAGTGACAAATCTGTCTCCACGCTTTGGTCCGTGAGGTCGTTTTACCTCTGCCACAGGTCAAGCAGGACACAGCTTCGTTTCTAGTTCAGACAAGGACACTAGGGTCTGGCGCACGCACCAAAGTAGCTGCCACAATAGGATATGTATTTGATGTCGAGCTCTCATGCTCCCGACTGATCTCAGCTCACCTTCCCACGGGGCAAACCTCAGATAAAGGCTCCACCGCGCGCACCGCTGCGTCCTGACGCTCGTCTTCATCGGCTTTCCACCATCCGCGCACCCACTCCAGAATGGCGGGACACGGCTCTTGGAAGTATTACCTTTGGATCTTTATTTTACTGTGCAGGTCGGCGTTGCCTTCAGCCAAATCATTGGAGACTATCATCTGGAGCTCGCAGAACCCAAAGTAAGTCTCTCATTTGGGCTGGGCACTTGTGCGTAATGGGGCAACAATAAAGGGAAAAGTTGACTTTGTGGGCTGGCAGCGTTAAATGTACTGTTAAATAAGGTCGTATAAATACAGAAGATACGTGTTGTGTGTTCTCTATATCTATTACCCCGCTGTTTTACCACAAAACCACATATAATTTATGCACCTTGAATTGTCACCCTCCACCATGGCGTATTGTGTTGATTTATTCTCAGTGGGGAATTTCCCAAATCTAAAGAGGCTTTCACAAAATACAGCAGGCCCTTCTTGAGCCACAATTGTAGATGTTTAATTACAGTAATTTATGACGTTTTTACACACCATTTTATTAGAAGGAGCCCAGGCCTTTCTTACTGTTGTAAATAATATATGTCGAGTTCTTGTGGGACCTCGTCCACTCCTTCCATACTATTTCGTGTAATTGGTGTAATTAGCTAAGTAGAATGAAGACTAAAATAATGTCTTGGAAAGGCTGCCAAGTGTGTCAAGTTTTAGCCTAGTTTTGCAGATTGAGGATATTTTCTTTCTTTCCCATGGGCTCTTAACATTGGCCATACCTGGCACATGTATAAGGCCACTCTGACTCTGCGTCCTTGAAGTGCTTCAAAAAATAACCTACAGTTTATCTTAATCAAAATGAAAGAATTAATTGCTTCAAAGTATTTCCCTTCCTTCTTAATTGTATTGGCTTACTTTCTAAGCATATATTTCAACATCAAGCAAGAGGCAAGTCCAGAGAAGCTAAGACAATATCCCATGCCAGAAGTTTTGTGTTTTATTTTCTGTCCAATTTTCAAAACAAGCAGACTGCGCCCAGACTGCTGATAATAAAATGTGTTCTGGTAACAATTATCACCCACTTAGGCTCAACTCCCACATTTGCATGAAGTATGTTGGACAGCACAGACAAGGGGAAGCAGCAAGAGGGGAAAGAAAGCAGAAAGGAGACCTTTTGCCTTGGCTTTTTGGCCCGAAGAATCTGACCTTCAATTTTCGGCTCACCGCACCATGGGGGAAATAGGTTGAATCAGCTCATAACTAGAACTTATTCATTCAAGTGGATCCATGATTTAGCCTTCCCAAATGTCAGATGTCATAGGCGCTTGTGCAGCCAGACAGTATGAAGATTACTGCTGTGTTCACGGGGGTGGGTGCATGTGTGGGCCCTGGTAATGGTGAGGACTACGGCCCATCAGGATCTATTTAAGTGAGGAAGCATAATGGAACAATGAGCGCATGGGCATATTCCAAACTATTAGAGATACCAGTTGTAGTAAAAGGGTTGTATTGGTGCAAAAGGAGACAAGTTTAGGTTGCGTCTAGGGCTAAGTTGAGATAGAAACGCAAATATTTGGGTGTTTTTGCTTGAGATTAAGTCAAGAAACGTGAGATTAGGATTGCAGAATGTACTCAGTGTTGCTCCAGTGGATGTAAACTCTGTCGGTGTAGTCTCGGTAAACGTTATGGGCCCTGTGTGTAGCCGTTGACTTAACCTTTTGCTCCGTCTTCTACACAAACATTTGGGGTGATTACTGTAAGGGTCGCCTCTGCTTTTTGCGGGGTCATCATCGCAATAGTTTCCAGTTTGATTGCTTTGTTTTCGACTCGGCGCAAACTTTTTTCGTTTTTAACACTCAGAACTTTCTATTTTTGTGGAGCCAGGATTTTCACAGCTTTTCCTCGGCCGCATGATTTATACATAAGTTGTCATGTTAAATATTTTAAACCTCCTGCCAAGGTTCCATAAGCTTTGATTGAAAAAAATAAATAAAAAATGAGCGAATATAGAAAGTGAAATTCTAATATTTTCTAAACTTTGCCAAACTTTTATATCACTAGGACCAAAGGCAAAAGTTGAATGCCTTAAAGCGACAGGCTATTCTAATCGCCCACCAATTATCTTTAATGATATGCAATTACATTTCAGCTATAATTATTGTATTATTATATATTTTCTGCTGTACTGCCTAGTTTTACTAGTAGACTTAATGTCAGGCTCAATATTATTATAAGACAAAAAACTTAAAACGCAACCCTTATCGCAGCAATTAGAAAAAGAAAAATTCTTATAGACAATACACAACATTTTGAATTCAAAATAATACCTATTTTTTGGGGAATAGATATACTTTCAAATTGATCAAAAAACATTGTTTATGTAATTTTCTATAAGTTTTTATACCTTCTAAATGTTTATCTACTTTCAATACTAGTTTATTATAATTTAACAGCTGATTTTTAATGCCTTGGACACCCCCTACTGCCTATAGCTAACTTTTATTGCCTCTATTTAGGTAGATATGATTTTGCAGACACGATATCCCAATAAACCGAACGATACCTTTTAAATGATTGTCAAAGTATAAATAGTTAATACATGCCTTGAGTTCCCACCACTTTACCAACGCAACATGTCACATAAGGGGACATTCTTCGCAGGCCACCACTGCATTTCTGCCCGATCACGTTTCCGTCTGACCCTGCCCATGTAGTTGTCTCTCCCAGCTCTCTCTTACGCAAAAAAATCCCTATATTTCAAAAAGTTCACGACGGAACAATAACCTGCTTCTGCTCAAACTGTTCTCCTCTGCAACCTAATTATCCCGCTGCTCTGTAGTCTCCGAAAAAAACCCGAAACAACAGACAATTACCTCTGCGTGTGCAATAAGCAAAGACAAACCTGCTCCCTCTATTGTGAAAGTTATCAGTCAGCAGCGCATCCAATATTGGCAATAAAAGCAGGGGATACACGTACGACAATCAGCATCTATCTTGTCTGTTTGCGTTGCCGTAACAGTCTCTCTGTGGCCTATATATCGCCTGGTGGGTGTTGATAGAGACAGTGCGAGCCCAATGGGGGGAAAAATACTGTACGGTATCTTCTGACGCGTCTAGATTTACGACGTATAACTTCCTGCACGCACTTTGGGGAGCACGGCTGCCTGGGTTAATAAATTAATCGGGGGCCCCTTACTTGCGCAGCGTACCACATCTATACACATACACACACACACACACACACAATATCTAACAATGCTCTCCCCACAGGCCCTGAGTTATGAGGCGAAAGTATAGGAAAGCAGCGGGCCACAGTCACTACGCAGCGTGGATGTCTGGCCCAATTTGTCAAGTGTTGGGGCGCTCCCTTCTATGCGTCTTTTACTTTTATGGATTCCTATGAGCGGATGCTATCAGTCTACGTGCCTCCCAGTATCAATATCCCGGGTACACTTAATTGATCTCCTTCCTGCGTGATGGGACCGGCGACATAGATCATACCGAAAGGCCAAAATAGCAGTAGAGATTTTTATGATGGCTGAGCAGCAGGATGAAGAGCTGTCACAAGTTTTCAAAAGTATAGGACAACTTTTAACCACAGTATAAGTCAAAAGAACGTATCTATAAGTGCTAAAAGTAGTATTGACATGATATTCTCAAACTAGCAAGTGCAGATTCTTTGAAAATATTACAGAATAGATTATATATTACCTGGGATATATATTTTTTCGGATCATTTTGAACCAGTTGCCACCTCCATGTGTAGTCCAATCAAGAAAGTGGGAATAGTTCTTCTTTTTGAATGTTTTGAACCAATCTTGACCACCATTGAGTAGCATGGATGCTAGCTGCTCCCTGTCTCCATTGGTTTAAATGTGAAGCTTTATTTGGAAAAAACTGGGGTCATTAAAAATATTAATTGTTAAAAGTTACATCCCCAAAAGAGAATATTTGGAATCTGCTGCTCCGAATTTTATATAGAGTTTCGAGCCTTCCTTAGACTTAACATTTCTGTGAAGAGATTTTCTGACTCGGATAAGTCTTAAGGTTATCATGACGGCAAGATAAAATGAAAATGTGTTTACAAAGTATTTTCAATCAATCTTTGAAGTTGTTCTCCAGGGAAAATTCCATATCCACTGACCTTTTGGGATTGATTAAAGGTGATGTCAATAACTAAACTTAACTACAAACCAGCAAGAGGAGAATAGTTCAACCAATGACGAGGTTCCTCAAGAAGTTGAATTAATTCTGACCAATCAGGCGGCTGCAGGGCTGAGCATGGGCGAGTCTTGGTAATGGTATAGTATAACTCTCTCTTCACAAATTGAATAGTTACTGACATTCACTCTAATTGAGAGAATAATCGCCCATTTATTAAAATCCATAATTGGTATTAAAATCCAGTTTGCAATATTAGCACTGTGACAACACCAGCAGGATGAAAGCAACTTTTTTGATGTGTTTTTAATAAATGCTTTTAAAGGTTGTTTGTGCAAGACAGCCTGATGTGTCACGGCAAAGAGAAGACTCCCTATAACATTTTGATCGGTAAATCGGATTAGCGCTCATTTAGCTGAGTGGGATTTAGCTTGGAAAATGTCACTTTGTTATGACTGATCACGTCTCACCGCTTTTTCCTTGTCCCGGAGAGGAGGAAGAAGCGTCCTAAGCAAAAAAAAAGCGGTGTATACTTGCCCCACAAACAGGCGGAGGAATGCTTGTCCGTGCCGTGATGCCAATTTAATGATAATCTGACAAGGTTGCGGTGAGTGCCTGTCCCCTAGCCCTTCCTTAGCTAATATTTACCTCGTGACCCATGGCTAACACTGTGTTTGCTACAGCTCAGGAGACAAATAAGACGATGGGAAACACACTCACACACACACACACACACACCTCACTGAGAGCTGCTCCGTGGCCAGAGGCTGTAAGGCAGACTGCTGCTCCGGATCCAGCGCTGAATGAGAAACTCTGGATGTTTTTCACCCACTGCTTCTTCTTTGCTTTTTATTGGCTTTTTTTTTTTTTTGGAAACACCAAGAATTGTGCAAAGTCTGCTTTCATTATGTTTGTGTTCTGTCGGTTTGAATCTACAAAACAAAAAATCACACTGGTGGGCTATATGGCTATATTCTTATTCTACTGCTACTTCTATAGCTATCATTGCTCTGCCCACTGTTGATATTATTACTATT